GTTCCTGACACAGTGCTTGGCAGGGCCTAATGGAAGGGCAGTGGCGATGCCCCCATCGCTGACAGTCGGACTCTAGCGCCCAGCCAGGCGGCTTCTTTGTAATGAAACGCAGAAGGGTCCTGCGTGTCAGTGAAAACCCGCGCGCCTGGGAAAAGGTCCGTCTGCGGGCTCGGCGTCCAGGGAGGCCCTGAGTTCCTGCCTGGCGTCCGCCGGGGAGGACGAGGGCCTAATGGAAGGGCAGTGGCGATGCCCCCATCGCTGACAGTCGGACTCTAGCGCCCAGCCAGGCGGCTTCTTTGTAATGAAACGCAGAAGGGTCCTGCGTGTCAGTGAAAACCCGCGCGCCTGGGAAAAGGTCCGTCTGCGGGCTCGGCGTCCAGGGAGGCCCTGAGTTCCTGCCTGGCGTCCGCCGGGGAGGACGGCGGTACCTTAGGCGACTTCTCGGTTAATGAAAGGCTTCTAATTTAGTCTTCTTTCAGGAGCTGCTAACTTTTAAATTCTGAATCGTGTGTAGGCGAAAGTCGAGATTTTTTTTTTTTAGAAAAATGAATATAATGCAATTAGTTAAGTGTGTGCGGGAGAAATAGATGGGAAAAATTATAAGTGAGGTTTCTGCCGCAGTCGAAGCTTTTAGCAAAAGAAAAAAAAATCCAAAACTTAACTTGAGCTGCTTAGAACAAAGCGAACAGACTTCTTGTTCAGTGAGCTGTGCTTCCGCCGTCTTAGCCCCAGCGTGGAAGGGCTTCTCAGTGCTGAATGATCATCCCTTTGAGAGGCTCCCTCCGCAGGGCCCGGGTGACACTGGAAGAGGGGGTGGAGCTGGCCAGGCTGTGGGGCCTGTGGATTTGGGGGCCGACAAGCAGTAAGCATCAGCCCTTCATGGCTCACACCCTCCTTCTGGACACCGAGAGTGGCCACCTCTCCCGAGGGCCTGGTGCCCTGCGGTCAGGTGACAGGGGAGGGGAGACCAGGGAGCAGGTCCCTCTGCTGGGTCGTGCCTGGACTCCACTGGGACAAAGGCTCATGGGAGGGCGAGCCCGGAAGGAGAGAGGTGGCACCTGGACAAGGCCGGTCCGAGTACACACCTGCCCCCTGCACTCTCCCCCACCTGCCCAGCGCACACCTGCCCCCTGCACTCCCCCCCACCTGCCCAGCGCACACCTGCCCCCTGCA